AATATTCTGCGTTCAAATATCCCAAGAAACCCTATCATCCTAAACAAAAAGAACCAAATTAAACAGGAGCATGATGGGTGTTGCAAAATAGATCCGTGAAGATAGTATACCGGCTTCATAGCAGGTTGGGTTACGCTAGGCGCACTCCCTCTCAAACTTTTTGTTTTGTTTTCTATTGTTGAAGCGCATTCCCTCCTTCTAATTTTTGTTGAGAGTTGCTGAGGCTTCTTGACGTGAAAATGACGTTGCAGGAGAAGAACCGGAAAAAGGGGGCGTGTTGCTCGCCGTCATCGGGCCAGTCAGTGGTGGTTGAAATGGACAGTGAATTAGATGGACACACAAAGAAGAACACTCCCGGTCACTTGATGCATGCTAAGTCGACATTCCACGTTAGGGTTAAAAGAAGGGAATAAGGCGACGTCCCGCAATCAATGTGCAGTGGTGGTGGCGGCGGCGCAGTGGTCTACCAGCGATCGCACTTCATTCGACGCTGATACTGCTCGTAGCGAACTCGCCCAATCCACACTTGTTGCCGACAATGACCCACTTCTTGGGCAACTCATAAACGTTATTTATTCTATTTATTTACGTACAATACGTACAGTGTTCGCGTGGAACATTAGTGTCGAGGAGACATAACATATAAAATACATATTTGAAATACGTATACAAAAAAGTAATACACTTCAGAGCAGTAAAGAAAAAAAGAAAGAAAAATGCGGAATGGCAACACGCCATGCATTGTAAATAAAAGTAATAAAGCTACGTATCAAATCATGCAAGGGTGACCCGTAATTAGCATTGACGTGTGGAAAAATACACAGCAAAATATGTGTAAATATAATAAACGCACGCACACATATATTTTTATATTTTACATACATACACGCACATACATACATACATACATACATACATACATACATACATACATACATACATACATACATACATACATAAATACATACATACATACATACATACATACATACATACATACATACATACATACATACATACATACATACATACATACATACATACATACATACATACATACATACATACATACATACATACATACATACATACATATGAGGGACTGTTGGTCAGCTGCCAGCTCATAATAAGTTCACGTGCTACCTGACGCCAAACAGGCCCAAAAAGAGTGTGCCACACTCGCCGTCATGGCTACTGGTGGCGCTGACTGATACTCCCACGTTAAATTCCCATTAAACGTGGGAGTTAAATTCTCATTAAACCCAATGAAGTAGCTGGGGGGATAGCCGCCGTGTTAGCTCAATGATAGAGCATCGAACGCGTTATTCGACGAAGATCGCAGGTTCAGTTTCTGCCCACAGTAGGTTTTGACCAACTTTTTTTTCTTCGCATTTACATTACAATTCGGTCTAATAACGTCCCCTATACTTTCCTTTCCAATATTGTCTGTTAGATCTCATTAATATTGTGTACAACACGGAAAAGCGAGCCCTTAAGCATACACTTCTTTCCGTACACACACACACACACACACACACACACACACACACACACACACACACACACACACACACACACACACACATATATATATATATATATATATATATATATATATATATATATATATATATATATATATATATATAAGGGAAACAAGTAGTATAGGAAACTTACTATGCCAATTGTAATGTAAATGAGAAGAATAAAAAGTGGGTGAAAAGACAACTTGCCGTGGACAGCATCCGAACCTGCGACCTTCGAATAACGCGTTCGATGCTCTACCCCTGAGCTACCACGACAGCTATCCCCCCAGCCACTTTGTTGGGTATCTATGTCAATTTACACGTGGGAGTGTCAGTCAGCGCCACTAGTAGCCATGGCGGCGAGTGTGGCACACCCTTTATGAGCCTGTTTGGCGTCACGTGGCACGTGAACTTATTACTAACTGGCAGCTGACGAATAGTCTCCCGTATACAACCTAAAGGCACCAAGTCGCCAGTACGAGACCCTCGTTAATCAATAAGGGAAACAAGTGTATACTTAAGGGCTCGTTTTTTTTGTGTTTTACACAGTATTATTCAGATCTAACAGACGATAATGCCAAGGAAGGTATAGGGGAAGTTACTAGGCCAATTGTAATGTAAATGAAAAGAAATAAAGTGGGTGAAAAGACAACTCGTCGTGGACAGGATCCGAACCTGCGACTTTCGAATAACGCGTTCGATGCTCTACCACTGAGCTACCATGACAGCTATCCCTCCGGCCACATTATTGGGTATCTATGTCAATTTAAACGTGGGAGTGTCAGTCAGTGCCACTAGTAGCCATGGTGGCGAGTGTGGCACACTCTTTATGAGCCTGTTTGGCGTCACGTAGCACGCGGACTTATTACTAACTGGCAGCTGAGCAATAGTCCCCCGTATCCAACATAAAGGCACTAAGTCCGCCAGAACGAGACCCTCGTTAACCAATAAGGGAAACAAGTGTATACTTAAGGGCTCGTTTTTTGTGCTTTACACAGTATTAATGAGATCTAACAGACGATAATGCCAAGGAAGGTAGAAGGGAAGTTACTAGGCCAATTGTAATGTAAATAAGAAGAAAGAAAAGTGGGTGAAAAGACAACTTGCCGTGGACAGGATCCGAACCTGCGACCTTCGAACTGGCAGGCTTGGTGCCTTTAGGTTGTATACGGGGGACTATTGGTCAGCTGCCAGTTAGTAATAAGTTCACGGGCTACGGACGCCAAACAGGCTCATAAAGAGTGTGCCACACTCGCTGCCATGGCTACTAGTGGCGCTGACTGACACTCCCACGTTTAAATTGACATAGATACCTAATAAAGTGGCTGGGGGGATAGCTGTCGTGGTAGCTCAGTGGTAGAGCATCGAACGCGTTATTCGAAGGTCGCAGGCTCGGATCCTGTTCACGGCAAGTTGTCTTTTCACCCACTTTTCTTTCTTCTCATTTATATTACAATTGGCCTAGTAACTTCCCCTATACCTTCCTTGGCATTATCGTATGTTAGATCTCATTATATATATATATATATATATATATATATATATATATATATATATATATATATATATATATATATATATATATATCGCGAGAAGAAAACAAAACAAGTAAAAAAAGCAAATTAAAGCGTACACCACTCGAAGGAAGAAGGAAGAAACGGATACAATTTTTCGAGGTAGTTTGTTCCAGCAATATTGATGATGAAAAAAAGGATTATTTGATAACGTTAATTCTTGCAGTGAACTCGCGCACCTTTAGTGGGTGGTCAGTATGAGCAGATTTATACGTAGGCTTCAATATGTAGTTCTCTTTGTGAATACCCGTTGAAAAATAAAATATTTTGTGAAACAGAGATAAATATAAGATCTTGCGTCTGTCTTCACGAAGGGTGAAAAAGAAACAGCGCGAAAAACGATTGATTGATTGATATGTGGAGTTTAACGTCCCAAAAGCGAAAAACGAGAGACCAGGCAAAGAAGTATACACATACATTCTGTATGTGTACTTATTTGTCTGGTCTCTCGTTTTTCGCATCGTTTCTTTTTCACTACTTGGTACCAACAAGCCCAACCAACCATTTTAGCTTTAAGAAGGGGCTATCCTAAATTATTCCTGATTTCTAAAGATCTTTTACGAAAGTCATAATCACCTGTGGCGAAACGGCTCGCTCTCAGCTGCACACGCTATATAGCTTCGATGTTCACTTTAGTAAAAGGGTCTCCAGTGGTATAGACGTACTCCAAAAGTGGGCGCGTATTGGATATATACAGGGTATCTTTCAGGCTGACCTGTGCTTGTTTTAATGTTGCTGAGCTTTTTTCGATGTACTCAGTGTGCGCATTCTAAGTAAGATTGCTTGAAAAATGGCTCCTTGGTACTTATATATTCTGTCAGAAGAGACAGCTGTGTTGTCGGCAAGTGGTTATACATTTACCATGACTGCATTTGTGAGCGAAGTGCGATGTTTCTCAAACTCAGAAGCTGCTTATGCAACGCCAAGTTTTACAAATACGTGTTACAGGTAAGATATCTCAATAGAACCCAAAAGCATGAGGATGGCTACCCCCCTCTCCTGCACTCTAATCATCTGAAAGGGGCGCCGATAACTGCCCTTTCACTTAACGCGCTCGTGCATTTCACGTCATATGGCTAAGCGTGTTTTCCAACTACAATGTCGACCATCTGGTGTACGTGCACTGACGTCGCACAGAACACGGGCCACCATGACGTTACTGTACGACTTCGAATAACTTGACGTAACTATGACTCACCTTGGAGTTAATCAAATGCGTATTGGGTGCACTGTGGCGTTTTACGATAGCCATTTGCAGCTTTTTACACTTTCCAGCTCACTTTCTCTCAGTTCTGAGTTCTTACAATTGTGTGCATCTATCCAGAGAAATTTCCGGTGGTATACTGTGTATTTTTAAATCGTCTTCGATCTGCTTTACCTATATCGCTTGTACGGCTAAAGAAGGGCTCTGCTTCAGCATGCATAGTACACGTATTGGCCGGCTTTTGTGACGTTTGCGTCGACCGTGTATTTATCAGTCGTGTGTAATTTTTATGACAGACATAAAATTAAGCTCTCCTAAAGAGTGAATAATACCATGACCATCGCAACGCCTATACGTGGTTTATATAGTATCCGCATTCGCCCCACGCGGCGCATTGAGGTGACGTAAACAAAGCCATTTTTGCGCAACGTGGCATTACAGGGTGACTTAGAAGCTGAAGATGCGTGAAGCCACGTCGTGAAAACAACGCCAACATACGTTGAATCATCGACCTACATCCTCCACCTTGCATTATCGTTTACAGGGCGACATGACATCAAATCAATCGTGCCTAAAGTATTTTTCCTACGTTAATGCGTGTCCAGAATGAGGAAAGGTGCAGCAATTGCGAAATTTCTCCAACTCTGGTCTTGTGAGACGTGTTACGTGAGTACGAGACCACGTGCTGAGCCTTACCTGGGCTCCCTGCTTTCGCGGCAGTTCGCTGGGCAGCGGTACGCCGTCTTCCGATAGCAATCGCACACCTCCCGAGTCTCTTTCTCGAAAGGCCAAGGCGAACAGGGCCCCTGCTCGGTAACAGGACAGTCGCGTCTTGGATGCAGACGACACAACCACGTCTTCCACACGGCAGTCCAGGTACACCGCCATTTTAGCACGATGACTTCCTTGGCTTGCCCCTCTCCCCTCTTCTTGCAATTTATAGGTGAGCACCGAGATATTATAGTCAGACCTGACCCATCGTAATCCGCAGTTACAGTCGCGGCGTTTTCAGCCAGGAAACGTAGAATCTGGTTCCGGAGACGTGAAAATATGAGCGCAAGAAATCGTCGAAATGTGCTTGGCCCTTTAGAGGGGTGGGTGTAGGTGTGTAAGACAGAATTATTTTTGCGCAATACGAGTCATTGCTGTTCTTTTCAAGGTCCATGGTGGCGTCGACGAGCACACAGTAACCGAGTAGCTGATCCTAGAGGCTTCAGGCGATCTGCAAATTGAAGTTAGACGACTGTGAAGTAGCGACGTAATGTATTTAGGGGCAACAATAAAACATCCAACAAAAACGGAGCGGCGCAATCTTTGTGGTTGTATACAAAAATCTGGGCTGTACGTAACGTTGACTCAAATGAAGACTCCGAAGTTACACCAGAAGAAGCGTCTTGCCGTCGCTAGCGGAGTTGCTTGCGAAGCACGCTTCAACACTGAGTACTATGGGGAAGCAAGCATACAGAAACTCTTACGTCGTTTCTTCCATGAATTTTTTCTTTATGTTATCAGCCTCACATTAACCAATTCAGGTTCACAAAGCCATGCAAACAAAAAAATGGTATTTCCCCTTCGTGTGTCTTTCTAATGTTTATCCTAAAGTGCGCGCTCTATAGTTTTGTCACTGTTCTACATGTCTCAGAAGTCAGAAGAAACGTAGTCGAGCGCTATGGACTGATATCATAGGTTTAATTTCATGCGGTCCGCTTAAAGAAAGAACCTGGCTGGTGGCACAGTGCGCCGTAAACAATTTCGTCATAACATAAAAAGGAATTGCAGGGACATAAGCACGTTTCTCAGGAAAGCTTGATCTTATTAGTTCCATTCTTGATTCTGCAGCTATTCTAGGTATGCTTGCGTAAAAAAAAAAAAACATATTTTTCAGGGGCAGTCATTTAGTGCACTTAGAGAAGAGCTGAAACGCACCAAGGAGAATGTATATGCCACAATTATAAAGAAAGTAGTATTTGATGATGATTGCAGGTAAGTGACTGCACAGAATACAGCACCTGCGATAACGGCCATCCTCTCTGAATGGCTCAGCAGTTTGCGTGGCCAAAGGACGCAACGGTGGTTAGATTTGATTTGTTGTGTTCAGTATTGATCATGCACATGAATTATACTGCATATTAAGGTATAAATACCGGTAGTTCGCCGTCTTCATATCCCAAAGGTGCTGCGCATATCACGTTGCAGGCATGACGTTGGGCAATGACTGACAGCGATTCACAGCGAAAGCCGAGCACGAACAGTTGGTTCGTGGGAAGCAAGGCCTCTCGAGAATGTGTGTTGATCGCATAGTTCGTAGACGGGACGACCGAAAACAAAACTGCCGGGCTCCATGGTTCCCGTCAGCGCAACGGTTGCCACGGGCGATCGACCCATCTGAAGGGACTGTGTGAGGCGGCGCTGCCACCTGGACTGTGGCGCTGGTAATACCAGTGAAAGCGCGGACATTAACTCAGTGCAGCACGAAATAGAGAAACATTTAACCGGGCGTCCTCATGTTCGTGCTCACTGCACCATTGGCGTGCACACGAGGAGGAGGTGCACGTGGTGGCCTAGTCAACTGAGAGCAGCGGGGGCGGCGCAAAGCCTGCCCGATGCCCTGCACGGTGAAGATTGCAAGCGTGCGGTGCTGTTCAACGCTGCAGTGGGCGTTGCATGTCAGCCAGCATGGTCGATGTTCTCTTCAAAAGATTAGTAGGCCTTGGTTTTGAGAAATTGATTGGTGGAACTTTTCACTTTGAATAGATTTCACTCGTTATGTACCCTGCAGTTGACTATCTATTTGACTTGCGTTTATATACCTCATGACAACAATGCAAAATGCTAGAGCTGCGTTACATCATGACAGAGTAGATGATTTAGACAATGGGCGTAGCAGTCACTATATAAATGAACCCATTATTAAGAACCTATTGCTGGGTGAGTTTGTGAATACACCACATGTTGGATTTTACTATAATAGAGAAGAATACGTGATGGAAGACAGCACAGGTGCCAACTATTGCTATTTATTTATTGCGATGATTGTATTGAAATATGCAAGCTGTTTAAGTAATCTGTGCAGTATTATAAAAAAGTTGCAGAAAGACGGTATCTGCGTGCTACCTGTGGCGTTCCCTTTACTGTGGCAAACGGAATCTGCAGATGCGTGTGAACATTATTTACGTCAGTAATTGAAGAAATTTACACGATTTGCTTTTTAAGCAGTGTGAACAAGCGGTGGAGTCAAATAAACGAGTTCTAGTTCTATACCTGCAATTAGTCGATAGCCATTTTGAAATTTCTAAAAGACGGCTACCGGTAAACACTGCGGTGGGATGAAACCTAGCTAATCTAGCAGGCTAAACCGAAACATCAAACAGCGCATCTACCATTCACTTCGAAAACGCCCTCAATGACCACATTGTTTCCTCGCATCGGCGAGGAGGATAAGTGGGCGTCGATGAGCGGCCATGCGCAGGAAAGCGCTTCCATGAAATTAAGTATGGAAAATAATGGTTGATCATGGCGAGGTACTTTGATTACCAATGAAAGATGAGTCAAAACAGAAACCTTAACAAAGAGCTGCTCCGTCCTTCGTTGTGGGTATCGGAAGACGTTTCGAAATCCGTATTCGATGACGTCAAGAAATGCGCTACACACCGCCATGGCTGGCGATGGTGTAAACCACGGAGCAAGAATTGGAGTAAACATAGCAAATGTGCCTCTCATGACACGTGAAAACAAAGTTGGCGATGTCATCCTACCGAGAATGAAGTTCTGCCAGCTCGTCTGAGCTTACAAGGGGCTAGTTCAGCGATGATTGCGGACTATCTGAGTGCGGAAGGGTCGCCTTTTGATTTCGACGCGCCGGTACGTGAAGCATCTGACGTGCCCCGAATCGATCTCTTCGTTGCTCAATATCGTGCACCCGACGTCAACGACGCATAACACGCTGTATGAAGCTGAAGAAACTGAACTGTGAAGGTGTCACCACCGCCTAGTAGAAGAAAGGGCGCTACGTCAGTTTGCTGGTCAAGGCAGGGTTTTAGAAAGAGAGTATAGGCACTTACGTCAAATATAAAGGGTGGGCCGCGTCTATAAGTGATTCGAGAATGGGCTGCCAATATTTAAAACTAGTTTTCTACAAAAACTAAATGACTACTGGTCGTATAATTTGGCTTATATAACTACGGCGCCAACTAAGTGTTGAAAGTTTTTTCTGAAATCACTAAATATAGCCATGCCATTTCTTTATTTTCACCTTTATTTGATTGCAGGTCGCGGAATCTATTCCCGGCTGCGGTGCCTGAGGTTTCAATAGAAGAGAAAATGCTGTAAACCCGTGTGCTCAGATTCGGGTGCACGTTAATGAGCCCCAGGTGGTCGAAGTTTCTGGAGCCCTCCACTACGGCGTCTCTTATAATCATATGGTGGTTTTGCGATGGTAAACCCCACATATCAATGTATCAATAAATTTTGTTTCATTCGGCTTTCGCCCAAGAAGACTGGGTCAGGAATGCTCAACACAAACCTCGTTGTTTGAGAAGGTTCGAGATCATTGTAGATCGTTATATTAAGATTGGCCCCAAGATGTGAGCACTCGTGATTATTCCAGAGCTTGCGCGAGGAGCAGTGATAAAGGCTGGAATATTCGACAACACTTGTATAAATGCCGCCACGCTTTGCCGCTTGTGAGTTGATGGGACGGCCAACACTCCGTTCGCCGCTATCAGTACAACTGTCTTGCTCTAATCTGGCTTTCCTTTTACGTGGCTACAAGGTCAGCCCATTAGACGGTTTAACCCGAACATCCAGTCTGCTCGCTTCGCGCGTGTTACAACCCCGTGACAATATCAAAATATCGCCAGAGCAAGGCTCGATAGGCCTAGTCACCAGATAGTTAACAAAAGATAAGCTGAAACGTGCGGGCTAATTGGTGTGTGTTCCTTTAATTTCTAGTGGGCTAGTGCGACACGTGATACTGAGGGGCAAACTGCGAAAAAGGGAAGAAGAAAGAATGACCACCCAACAGAAGCGCTGATGAATGTGTGAAAGTTTATTACACCGGGAAATATAGCTGAAAAGAAAACAAGACTAAAAGCATGACGCGCACATAAAGGTCGAATGCAAGATCAATATATCACGAGTCGAGATGTCCCAAGTTAACAGCTCAAAAACATATCTTTTTTTTTCGTGGAGGACGAGTGAAGGAATACGAACATGTTCCCTTTCCTCTTGATATTGAAGAAGAAAGGACAGTTTGCCTCTGGGGGGGGGGGGCATATTTATTTAGCATTTCGTCATTAGGTGCATGCAATAAGTCTTGTTTTTGTTCAGCTATATGTATTTCCCGGTGTATAGATAGCGAAACGGCGCGTCGTCTACTATGGCACTTCCGATTCGAGGCCTATCCCTTCGCTTCGTCAAGGTGCCTACTGTGCAGTGTAATCTGGGAGGAAACACGTGAAGTTTGGAGCCGCACTTGTTGCCGCTTGTTCAGTGATTAAGGGGTTGTTTTTCTTCTTTTTGTTTGGCAATTGGATTAACGATATTTCTGAGAACAAAGCGAGAAGTGCAAATGGGAAAACATAAAGAACGGCAAAAGGCGGGTTTCGAACTCAGTATGCGATTATGCTTTGAAAGATGACGTATTCTTTTCCAGAACCACCTCGATTTAGTATTTTCGAGTGGAAACGGTGACAACTTCAAAATCTCTCTCATTTATGGGCACATGCTGCCAAATGTCAACATACTATGAAGTCTCGGTTTGGATGACCTTTATTATGCCCGAGGAACTGGCAGCCGACAGCTACGATGAATCAACCATGATGATGCTACGCGACAACGATGACGATGCATTAGCCACACATGATAATGATGATAATGTACAGGTGAAG